AAGACCTGATGAAAGGCACAGCAAAGTGCTCCACAGAACGTGGGGCCTTTCCTCAATATTAATGTGTAATTTTGTAGCTAATTACTCCCAATGCATTTCCCAGTGGCCTAGGAATCTCTCACTGACCATCTGCACTCACAATTACCTGCTCAGTTTTTCATAATCTCTTAGTAAATCATTGCTGGATTTGCAAAGGGATCATCAGTCATCTGAGTTTCCTTTCTTGCATGTCTTTTGCCTTGCATCAATTTGGCCAAGATGTATTTATTGAATAAGAAGCTCAGTAAGGCTCAAGCACTGTTTCTTTGTTATATGAAACTATCCCTAACCTTTGCTCCAGCCAGAGTTGTACATGGTGCTGGGATTCACTTTGTGTTGTGGCAGTGGATGAACGGAGGAGGACTGGCTCGTTGGAGCAGGGCAGCTGTGGAGGGTGACCTGAGGAAATACATTCAAGCTGCCAGTGGGGACTCAGAGATGGGGGAAGGCACTGACAAAAGTCGGTTTTCAACTCATGGTTTTAAAACTCATCAAACTTCCTACAACACCATCAAACTTAGGATTATACTTCCAGGATCTCAGGCCAGTCCGCAAGCCTCTGAAAGCATTCCCCACCTCTAAACCGAAGGCTGACCCTGCTGTGCCCTGGGAAAACCAGCCCCAAGGAGGGTTCTGTTCACAACATCTGCTCTTTTGTCAAACGCACCCCCTGACACCCCTCGGGCTCTTCAGAGAAACCTTCATCCCTTCCCCAGCACAGATGACGATGGCATCCCTGTTGCTGGAGCAAAAACAGCTCACAGTTTTCAGTTCCACTGAAGTCAACCTGCTGCAGGAGACAAGTTGGAGGGGAAAAAAAAAAACTTCGGGCTTCTGTTTAGGGAGCAAACGGTTAAGCTTTTCCTTTGAAGATAGCACAGTTCATCCTGCTAGGCTGCTGTTCCCTGCCAAAAGCCGATGTGGGCACTTTGCCTCAGGTTCCCTGCAGAGTCTGAACCCATGGGGCTACATGGAAGCATTCTTCAAACTGGACACTTAAACTACATCTGAATGTTTTTTTCTGATGTGAAGATTGTAGCCGTTTGTATGTGAGGAAAATAAATTAGAAGCAAGTAATCATTTCATTTAGATAACATTTTTATTAAGAAAATTTTAAGTGCATACACATTTATGGGAGAAATTACAACAATATAAAACTGTTTCTTTTCAAAATATTCTATGAAAGGAGTAACTTCAAAAGCATAATATAACTCCTCCATAAAAGCTGCCTTACAGGAACACAAATACAAAACCCTTTTCACATTATTTGGGAAGATATTTCATTTTACTTAATAAAAATATAAAGTACAGTATTTACCACATTCGACAATACTGAGTTCTTAAGGAGTGGAAGATGGGAGGTTCATGCAGCCCTTTCATGATGATATGTTTTCTTCTCTGTGGCCACCAGAGTCTCATGTTTGCAAACAAGGCTTGTCTTGGTGGGATGTTGGTAAAGAAAAAAAATCAGATTTTAGGTGATGAGTTCGTAGCAACCACTGGTTACTATAAATCACATCACTCTAAGTTGCCAGAGAAAAGAAGGACCGTCCAGATGCTAACAAAGGGAAAATATCAACAAAAACTTCTATAGGAACTGCATTTTCAATGAAATGTGTATATTTAACTTCGAATACAGCCTTCATTGCAAAATGAACAGTCACCTTTGCTCAAACACTTTAGTTAAAAACACATCAGAAAGTTACCCTTCATCCTTCCTCAGGCAGAATTCAGATAACATATTCATACATACAAGTATAAAGCTAGCATAAATTAAAAATTGGCACAGCAATAAATACCATCTATTCTTAAAAAAAAATAATAATCCAACCTTAGGATTCCACAGCTGCACTTTGAAAATACCACACGTGACAATTTCACATTTACGGAAGCTGCTTTTTCAGCACCAGTTCAGTGTTATCTCTTTTCCCTCCTTCTCTTCACGTGTGGTCCCTACATCACTCCCATCTCCCCACGCTCCCTTTCCCTGATCCAGTCTTTGGTCGACAGTTAAAGGCAGAAAGGGAAATCAAGTGCTTTCCCCGAGCGGGTTTCTGCTCGTGCTGCTGCTCAGCCTACCAAGACTGTGGTGTGCACAGGAGGAACGGCGTGCGATGCACAGGACAGCGCAGGGAGCTTGGGACAGCCCAGCCAGTGATTTCTCTAGTGCGAAGGGCACGGCTGCTCTTCCTGAGGCATCACGCAAATAATGCCAGGCAAAGGGCAATGCTTCCCACTCAAGGTTGAATTTTGGTCTAAAGCAAGAGAAAGCTTTTATCACGTTCTCACTTAAGTCTTCTGTTCCTCCTGGCCGGGTCTGCATTCATGCTGTGCTCAACCTTGCCCAGGCAAGGGAGGAATACTGTGCTGCCCCCTGAGAGCATCCCGTGCCCTGAGTGGTCTCAGCGACATGAGTAGTGAATCGCCACCGGCACAGCAGTGTCCGGGCCCAGGTCACACTGTGAGTCTCAGGAAATGCCAGAGGCAGATGGCCCACAAGGCGCCCAGACAACCACCACCTGGCTGTAGATGGTCCCTAGCCTTGCAGGGAGTCCCGTTCCTTCCTGCTGCTACTCGTACATTTCTCCTAGAAGCAAATGCCCTTCCTTTAGCCCAGTTTACCCCTACAACGCTCACTGGTTTGCCCTCAGAAGAGAAGGTTGACAGGTGACCCCGTTTCCTGCATTATCTACACTACCTGTCTTTACTGTCCAGAGCTGGGACCCCGGGCTTTGGCCAGGGTACCCCAGGGCTGCCCATCTCAATGCTTCTGTCAAAGCAGTCCGTTTGCCCGAGCTGTAATGTCAGGCTGGCAGGTGCCCAGAGACCTTTCCCTGCTGGTGCTGACCCCAGATGCACTCCCTGTTAACGAGGACTGCAGCAGAGCACTGGCAAGGCTGTACAGTCACATCTACCCACCCCATCTTTTCACTGGAAAGCCAATGTTAGCCCTAGAAACAGAATCTTCATGGCCCCTATCATCTTTAGCATGGTATGCTGCTGAATTAAGACCAGAGGGTTATTTAATTCTCCGTTTACTCCAATGGTAATGGATCAGACCTCAAGCTGTCCTTGGATGGGAAGCATGTGTGAAGAATGCACCTTCCTGGGTGAGAAGGACAAGCTCTGTGTCTGTGTCAGAGCCAAGATTCTTCCACTTTCCCCCTGAAGTCATTCTTGACTTTGACACTCACATGTCCGCCTCTGGCAAACCACTAGCAATTGCAGATGTATGTGTGGGGACAGAAGATAGACCCCAGGGTATAAAGTTTTGTCCAGGGAAGATACAAGAAACTCTAGTTTTCTCATAAAAGTTCTTTCTGTCTTTATCATTACCACAGAGGATCTCATCCTACTCACATTGAAATCAACACTCCAATTCTCATCAAGTACAGACCTTTCAAAATGGAGATACAATATACTTAAAGCACCAAGTTGGTAATAATAACAATAGAAGGAATGTCAAAATCACACACACATACATTTTAGGCACAGCAGTTGATTTCTACTTTAAAGCAAATGAGGTGATGTGGTCCCAGCTGAAGCACTCTCTGTAATAGCATTGTTTTGCAGAGAGGAAAATACTTACAAGGTTTTTACCTGAATCCACGTGGAAATAAGGTAATCCCTGGCTAGCCAAAGTGCCTCTTTGGCACTGAAAGATGCCTGCCACGAAAAGGAGTGCTTAGTGAAACACCCCTTTTGGTGTTCCCGACACAGGCTGCAGGGAAGACTCCTTTTGAAGCAACCCGCTCAAAAAAAATACAATCTTACAACATGTTTTTGTTTACAATACACATACAGATACATACAAACACAAGCTCTGTGCTGCACAAATGTGCTTCCCCCCGGATCCCAGTGCGCACCATAATGCGATTACTGCTGTACTCTACTCTTTCTATACTATATAGCAAAGATATTGCGTATACAAGTGGGAATCGGGAGAAAGAAATTTCTGGCTGAGAGAGAGGATTGATGCAAGAAGTGGTACCTGTCTCTGGGTGGACTTTGCAAAGGGAATTCCAGAGGCTATCCTGTTCACCAGCAAACAGGGCCATGACCGCTGGTGAACAGTGAGTGTTGGCCTTCATTTCCACACCCGAGAAACCCTTCCACAAACTTGGCAGACCCTCTCTTGCCCCAGGCACCTCTTTTCTCCAAAGACATGGACAGACATCCTCTTCTAGGTATCTCCGAAGCAATCAGGTGTTACCACCCTCAGGTACCTGTGACTGTTCAGTAGCTGAGGCTACAGCATCGTTGGTGAAGGGTCACATAAATGCATCTCCGTCTCCTTCCCTGCAAAGCTAGCCAGGTGAGCTGAAGCCACCTCCTGTGGATGGGTGGGAAGAGATACCTGGTGCGTGGCAGCGTATCCGACTCCTCCAGCAACTTGCAACATGATCGCGTGGTTAGACCTTTAATAACTCATTGGTTTTTGTGCTAAAATTTGTCATCAGAAACACAGGAACATAGGAAATGCCAGGTGACATCAGATCAGTGTTGTGGCTCCTAGTACAAACAACTACTACAAACCAAGTACTAGCACCTTGCAACACCAGATGTACATTGACCCAGCCACTCATAGCTGTGACCAAGGTCTCTGATCTTCAGAGAAGGGCTTTAGCCCTGTAGCCCCGAGTTTAATCCCTCACCCAAAATACCTATAAACGCCACCAATGGTAATGCTGTTTACTTTCATCAATGTCTGATGCTTTTTAGCCTTCCTATGTTCTTGGCCTCAATGACTTCTGGAGGCAAGGAGTTCCTCCACTACTTACACAACATCATTGCACTGTACAGTTCATGTCCTTCTAGGTTTAAAACTCCAGGAGACTTGCATGAACCAAAAGAAAGTTAAATAAAGCAAGACCTCTACATAGCAAAGGAAATAAAATATTTTATAATAACATAGGGTTAGTTTAAATTCATATCTGGCCTCAGTGCTAGGTAATAAACCAACCTGTATAAAAACATATTTTTCTCAAATAGTTACATCTTATATAAAAATAGCACTGTGAAAGCAAGCCAATCTGTGCAAAAAAAAAAACAAACCCCACAACAAAAACCCAAACACACAACACCACCCACCCCCCCCCAAAACAACCAAAAAAACCCCTTTGGGACTGCATGAAGCGTTGCTTTTGTGCTGCATGATAACAGTGAAATGTATTCATTCCCTAATACTGGTTATCTGCTCTCTGGCTCCTACAGTAAGAAATCCTGTAGACGGCTTACAATGCTTGCCTCTTACATCTTGAACCTCCTGTTGATGAAGAAGAGAGTGAAACACTATTAAGGTTTATTTCAGTTGCAAAAGCTTTGATATCAGGCCTAGTCAAACAGCAAATCTGTGTCCGGACTAACCCAAAGGCATTTCTTTTGAAGCCCCTCCAACCAGTATTTCCCAAACATTTTGGGGGAAGTTCTCCACAAGGAGCTACTGGGACCCAGCAGGGCGAACCCAGCAATAGGAGTTATTTTGGGCAGGTTGTGCTCATCACAGTTAGTAAGGTGTTCAGAGCTAACGCAGGAGGAAGGCTGGCTAGGAAGCTTATTCTGGACCTGAAAGCCAGAGCAAAGAATTATCCGTGGGCAAAGAGACTTGGCAAAAAAAACCAAAAAACAAACAGCAGGGAAAGGAGGGATTAATCATTTGTGAGCAGCCCCCATAGTGGGGCAAGTGGCACTGGGAATGCCTCCTCTACCTGCCTCTACCCCACAGTTCTGCTGGAGATCATGGACTGCAGCTCCCCAGGGTGCCAGGTCTCTGTGAGGATGGAGGAGCACAGAGGGCAGCTGATGCTCTGCTCTTGTTGGTGTTCAGCTCTCACCATGGGATGGCTGGAGAGCAGAGGCCCCTGAGTGTGCTGCCCAGCCAGGAAACATCCCCATGGCTTCCCTGCTCTGGGACCTCACCTGCTGTGAGCAGCTGGGCAGCACGTCACAGCTCGTGGTGACCAGCTGCCCAGTGAAGGTGAGGTGACAGGGAGGGTGAGCAGCCACGTGCTGCACGGTAAATGTGTGAGGCGTTAAGTGCAGAGGTAGGGAGCTCAGGGTAGGAGACAGACGAATCAAGTCTCCCGTGCTCAATGTCACATTGAGCATGGTACCCTGGAGGCATGGTGGGTTAGGCATCACGGCAAAGTGCAAGGACATTGTGTGAAGGGTTCACTCAGAACAAGAAGCCAGTCTGGAGTGGCCTCCACGTTCTGTCTGGTGACCCCTACTCCTGCTCCAGGCTGATCGGCCTTTTGCAATCTAGATGAGGTCACTAAGGCTGAGTTACAAGTGTCAGAAGGTAAACACCAGGTATTCAAAAACCTTGATGTCCCAGCATGTCTTGTCGAGCCTACAGGATGAGAACAAACATCCCTTTCAGTGTCTGCTGGACAACTAATACTGTGTGACCACAGCCAGGGACAGTTGTGGCTGCTCTCAGTGAAGGCAGCCTCGGCAAACTCATCCAGGCATAAAGAGGATGACTAAGCTATAAGCAAAATTCTCTGTGAAGATGTCTTTTCCAGATGTCCCACACCAGTAACACTACTTCTTTTGGCACAGAAAGATGGGACACGCTGCTCTGATAGGAAAAAAACAACTGGGACATCCAGAGCATTGGCATATGGAACACCGTTCTCTGGGACTTGCCTAGCGTCTTCCATAGGAGAGGTGTCAACCAGTCACCAATGCACCAAATGATGTCACCACCCAGTGCTGCATTTGTCATTAAAAAACACCAGTGACAAATTCACAGCTGTTATTTGCAGTTTAACTCTGTCAGTTTGGTATTGGAGGGAAATGGCCAGCTAAAAGAAATAGGGCTTCCAAATCTTTACCCTGCTTTGACTTTGGCTTTACTTCAGGGTTATTTTGGCCTCTTTGGGTGTCCATTTTCCCATCTGTAAAATGGGAAAATTTTCCCACCTCTGCTGTGGCTGAACTTTTCCCCTGTTTTAAGAGTTTTATCTATACAAAACCCATTTTCAGGGAGTGTACAGATGTTACGCTCAACAAATATGGGGGAAAATGGAGGTCTGTATAGGCTAATGTGTTTGCCCAAGGTCACACAGGATGGTCAGTGGAAGAGCAGGGACTTGAACCTGAGGTATCCCAGCTCAGAAACTAATGCCTCCTACCATTCTTTCTCCCTGGAGACTTTAGTGGTGTTGCACGGGAAGGGCAGAGTGGGCCCCGTTTCTTCTGTTGCTTTTTTTTATGAGTGCGATGACGTGGTCTAAATTAAAAGAAAAATACAAAAAGACTGCCATAAATTATCCACATACAAAGGCCTTTTTCACATTTATCCTATGGCTCCTTCACATCTTGTCTGCAGGGTGCAAATGATGATAACATCCCCTTTCATATACCCTCTGCCTCAGAGGAACGCTAGGCAAATGCAAGTGCCCTGGTGACAGGACATTTGCAAATTCTGAGGCCATAACAACGCTTTTCCCCAAAACACCGAAGCTTCCCCAAATGCCTGCCAGAACTTGTCACCCAGGAGCCTCACCATCTGCATGGCACCCCCTGAGGTACAATGAAAGCAGAGGGGGGGCTGGATTTCTGTCTTCCCACCCAGCATTCCCACTGATATCAACAAGAATCGGTGGCACTCTATGGGATTTGTGGGCATTCAGTGCCTTAAAATGAGGCTGTGAAGATATTCGCCTACACTGTCCACCACCATGTGGGATATTCACCCAGCACACACTCAGTGGAGTACCGGGAGGTAGTTGTTTTGGCATCTGGTACTTCAGCCCTTATTTACAGATGAGGTCAGAAATTTGGAAGAGCTGCCACACTGGGGTTTACAAGCCCTATGGAGGAAGGCAGCAGCAGGGTTTGGCTCATATCACAGTGAGCTCCTAAAAGTTGGGAGTTCCCTTTCCTTTCTCCCAGTGGGCTCAAGGGAAAGGTTTTTCCTATTTGACTTTGTTATCTTCTGCAGATCCGTCAGCTCTTTCATCTGTGCCAGCAGTAGCTGCTGAGCTTAATGGGCTGCAGCACCTCAAGCTGAGGGGAAGTTCTGAGGTGGGACTATATTAACGTGACAACAGACAAGCAAGGATCATTCTCTGCTTTCTGTTTACTCTGCATATCTTTCCGTGAAGGGAGAAGGGAAAGGCAGTCAATGTATTGTAAATGATGACTGGGATTGCCTGGAAGTGATAAAGGATTTGTTAGCTATTTCAAGAAAGGACTGATTTGCCCCTTGTCTATAAAATGGATGAATGTTGCATGATGTTGGCCGCAGCAGCTGCACAATGATTTTTAAAGTCAGTTAAGGAATTTGGTTTCCTGACAGCCTGAATGTATTTTACTGATGTCTCGTAAGTGTGTATATTACATGGAGATGTGATGAATATAAAGCAATAATAAAGGCTAAGCAGAATTAGAGAGCAAAATAATTCCCTACTAAAAAACATCTCTGGTTTCACAATCAACTGCATTGGACTGCTATATTCTATGAACTTTTTCTTGCCCTTAGCTGCAGATTATAACACAGAAGATACTCTTACACTGAAGTACTGGTATAGATTAAGATGTCTTGACACTTTGGATTTTACTTAAGCAATTACAAGAGCCCTTTCTACAAAACGTATTGATTTTATTCCAGAAAAATAAATTCCCATGTACAATTGGGTTTTCATAACATGAAACAATTAGCCATTTTATTGCTAGTGCATATAGGGTAATGTCACATTTCATACAATTTCAGTACAAGTGAAAAAATATAATATATGGCTGATTGAAATTGATAGCTACATTAACATTTATAGATCTATATAGATTTATTTTACAAGCTGTTAGTAGTTTAGAGGGATATCGGTGTTTTAAACTACCAACATTCATATGGCTCCAATTCAAATATATGAATTGTTTGATGCGCTATAAATATATTCCAAAGTACATTTCATTGAAGAAGTCAAAGCTGTGCACTAAAATATATCAAAAACATGCCTTGTGAAAATGCTACAGACAGAGCCCTGACTGTCTGTGGAGCATGAAAATGCCACTGGTGTGAGCATTACTAGTTGGAAAATGAAAATAATGCCATGATTACAGGATTAGGTGATGGAGATATATGCTTTCTGTCATCTTATTTCATAGAGCTGGGACCAAATTCTCTTCTGTTACTCAATGTAAACCAGGATGAAATCCACCCAATTAGCAGAATTGCTTCTGGATTAGCGTTAGGTAAACAAAACCCAGAATCTGGCTGGAGATCAGGCACGAGCTTACTGGTTTCAGTAGAGCTGGCCCCGGATCTTCACCAGTGGAAGTGAGAGCAGACCGTGTTCCAGCTGAGTTGTTCCCCTAAGTCAGGCAGGCAGGATCTGCGTGCATAATCACATTTGCCCAACCCCACAAATTTCTTAAGTGCCTCCCAAGCTTCAAGTCTTACGAACAGCATTGAGGGCTTCACTGGGGATGACAACAAACAGAAACTTAGGCAGGGGCTTGAAAATTTTCCCAAGTTGGAAAACAAAGTAGCCCAAGATCCTAGGACAGTCAGCATGGGCCACATCATACTCTTAGGCTCAGCTGTGCCTAAATCCAAAGCCATCCTGGCAGCATTAACCTGGATTACCTCTGCAGAGAATTTGCCTAAAGGACAAGAGGGCTGAGTGGTGGCAGCAAAGAAGGCACTGAGCATCGGATGAGATGGGAAGAGCTATCAGGGCTGGAATCACAGTCAGTTTGTTAGAGAGCTTCCTTCTCTCCTCCTCCTCAATTTCGCCCCAGCGTGGTCCCAAAAGGGCCACATGGAGGAATCTCTCTACCTCTGGTAGCATTTCTCCCCTTGCTTGTTGTAATAATACAGGGGAACAAAGACTTTTTCTTTTTTAACTCCACCCCTTGTTTGGCAGATGCATTTGCAAAGCAAACAGTGGAGGGCATTCAGCTACCTGTGCTGCCCCACATCTGCCCTGGGGCCATACCCTTCCCCACATTTCTCCAAGAATGTATTGCTTTTGCGAATGACTGGATTCCAGCCCTGCCTTCACCCTACAGATGCAGGGGGAGCACGTTACAGCGCGGTGACTGAGGGGTGGGAATGTGGTGGCGAGGGTGGGAGGGATACTGAGTGCACAGGTAGGCTTGCTGGCCGAAATGCCATTGATGGATCAATCTGGATCAATTGCAGAGGCCTGGGCAAGCAATGAAATGCTTTGTACCATCACTTGTCTCATCTTCCATCCCAGGAAGGCTGGAGCCCTCCCTTACACAGATAATATATCTCTGTGCTGCTCTTGCTCACCGTAAAATGGAACTGAGATACGCTGTGTCCACCTGAGGGTAGCCATGATCACCCGCTTTCAAGGGGAATGAAAATCGATTTTAAAAGTCTGAATTTGCCATGTACGGCTGGTTTTCCCCCAGCCTTGTGGGAGAGCCTTATTCATGGCAGCACATCTTGCCTTGGCCAGTATTAACAGCACTACACACTGGCCAGCAGAGAAACATTTTTTAGCACTAAGACCTCCTAGGCCTCAGCTGCCTGTGCAAACAGACCCCAGTGTAACATGGAAAAGGGGCTCTAAAGAAACTGGAACAATATAGATTTTGAAGTAACTGTAGTTTGGTTTGGGGAAGGGGGAGCATAAAGGAAGCATTTTCCTTGGGAGAACGGCTTTTTTTAAAAAAGGATGAGTTGGGGACCCCAGAACAGATTCATTAGGATAAACTTTGCCTCAAACCCTGGCAAAACTCTTAGTTTAACATTTAGGATATACTAGAAGCTGTAGCTTTAATACAGACTAGGTCAACTCCAAACCCATCTTCAAAACAATATCTGATTCCACGAGTACTTTGTCCACATGGTAAAAGCCAGCCCTTAATGTTCTACCCTTTAATAACTCGGGATGTTAGCTGTTAAGTCCATTTGTCTCTTGCCTTACTTGTTTAAAGCTTTCTCCAGATATTCCTGGATCCACTTTAACTTGGGATCAATGCACACTTGCTTGCTGTTGCTCTTGAGCCGTGCACTGCCAAAGGAGAAAAGTCAGAGTGAGTCTAGTGTGCGATGCTCCTCAGCCCACCCCCAGATGCCTTATTTTGCACAGAGGTTTGCGATTCCGCTACTCCGCTACGGACAGTACCTTGGGTGTCACTGCTAACCTCAGTTAACCCATGAAGAGGATGGGTTATCCCTGCCATCCTCAAGGCAGCTATCATAAATATCCCTGGGTTCAAAGCACTGGTACAATTTGTATCCTCTGACGCTAATTCTTGTTGTCTGTACTTGTACGCATGTTGGGTTGGGACTGATACAGGAGTTAAATCTAAGTTTTCCAACTCATACCTGGGCTGTTATGAGTTCAGTGCTGGGAACAGCTAATTTTCATTTGGAAATAATGGTATGGTAAACATAGGTAATTTTTTGCAAGGAATTAATTAAGAACAACTTTCAGATTCAACGCGAAATTGAAGTTTCATGTTTTGAGGACAGCACCAAAGCATACCTCTTGGATATTCTGAAAGGGTCTGGTCACTCTGTTTCATACAAGACTAAACAAACAGGTTGCAGGCAGGAAGACAACTGGAAGTACAATAGTGCCAAGGGCAAGTTTTCCCTCATGTATTCACTCAGCACTGGAAACAAAAGCAGAGACCTCCTGAGGGGCTTCCCCTGGATGTCCAAGCTGCACTTTTCAAACCAGACTGTTCAGCTAATCTGAATTCCCTGCGAATTTGGCATTTGGGCTATCTGCATCTTTGATACAAAAGCAGTACAAAAAACTTTTCACCCGCATCAGCAGGTCTCACCCTCCAGGGACCTCAGGGCCTCTTGAGAGTGCTGTGATGTCCCAGGTTCCCCAAAGCACCCTGCCTCTGCCCCAGCTGCTCAGAAATTTCCCCTTAAACAGCCTGCCTGCCGTGCAAAAGTGCCAAGAACAGCAATTTCATGGAAATGCCCGTAGGAATAAGTTCAGTACTTGTTTAAGCATTTTGCTGGATGGAAGCCAAAGTGTCCCCTGCTTCATAAAATGCAATCTGCAGGATATAAAACTATGGCGTAAGAAATAACAGGTCAAAAATGCTCCTTGGTCTGATGTTATGCAACAACATAGTTGTAACATAAACACATCGAAGATCCAGTCTTGCAAGCCCTGCGCCAATAAAGAGATGAATGGGCCTAATTCATATTTTCCTTATAGCAGTGCCAAGCTGGAGTATTTCCAGGGAAGTGATACCAACAGAGAATAAGAATGGATTTGCTGAGGTTAGCAATGCCTGGGAACTCTTGGGCTGGCCTCACAGGGTACAGAACCAGAAACACACGTAACCAGCCTCCAGCCACATGCAATGCAATTCCTCTCACCTAATATTAAGACGTTGATTTTTTTAGACATTTATTTCTGAGCCTGTCAGCCCCTACTCCTTGTATAGCCACGGCAGAGATCCAGGCAATTGTATGGAGCGTTAATCTGAACTGGTTCAGGTGTCTACTTTAGGATGCAATTATTTGCATGCTAAAAATGCTTATTTCCCTGTACTGAAAAGCAGGGAATTTAGGATAGGCTTTGTAGAAGTAGACATTGACAGAGGAGATTTCTGGATTTGGAGAGATTACTTTCCATACAACCAAAGACAAAAGCCTGCTCTTAGGATTTTTGTTCAGGTACAATTACCCTCAACCATGAATGGGAATGTACTTGTGCAAAAAAAAATACAAGATCTTTCCTTGAAACTATGATTTCACTGAGATTCTCTATTCCTGAAAATGGTAGCTTTTAAGTCACTTTTACACCTAAGTAAGCTTTTAAGTACTTTACTTTTTAAAGTAACAAAAAGATGGGGAACTATAGGTTCATGTGTTCTGGGTGCCACTAAATCACATTTCCAACAAACACATTTGGGTCAAGAATGAACAAGAACATAAGCTGCTTTTGTTTCTGCATTTCATGCTCTTATCTCCCTCTAACAACTATGATCCCACATTAATTAAGAGATAAATATATACTCTATCCTGTCTTAAACGTCTGTCATTTTCTTGAAACTACTCCAGAAAATTCCAAATCCTCCATAAAGCTTTAGTGCTGGGACCCTTATGACATCCACTGACAGTCCCAGAGCACAAATCCATACACTATTGTATTTTGGATGCTTGCCTCCAAAATTGTTTATAGGTGGAGATCAGAGTTAGTCACAGATGGTTTTGCCATTTTTGTGAAAGGAAATAATTTCTCAGCTGAGGCTTACATTTTTCTCACTGTCCTGCACCAAATCCTAAGGCAGAAGCACACATGAGAAAATGTGTATGATCTACCCAGAGCAGTTTAAAAAATAGAAAAAATCATATGCGTAAAACCTAGTTCATGAATGGATATCTCTTCAATATATCTGCATGTTCCTGTGAAATCTCATGAAACCACATCGATTTTCTGAGTGCAGACATGTTTTGGATGACAAAGAATGGACTTCTACAGCAAAGTTGCAACTGGAAGAGCTTGACACGGACCAAAGACAGAACTAGTGGTGGGAGCACTGCACAGAAACCCTGTTTAGTCGCTGGGACCTTCTTACAGAGGTCAACAGATGTTGATGGTAGTAGGGCTCCCTTGCAATGAAAAGATGAATGATATTTTTTTTCTTCTGAAGGTTTTGAATTTTGGGAGAGGAGGGAGGGGGTCACCCATGAACAAACAAACCCAAAAGACCTTCCTAAGAACACACCCCCCACATACACTAATCTACAACCCCATTTTTTCCTGAAAAACAGTGTTTCTTTTTCAGCAAAAATTAAGAGGTTATTTTCCATTAGGAACCCAATTATGTCTGTCCTGCTGTGATCTGTGATTTACTGGAGTCAGTCACTACCTGATGTGTCCCTAGATCAGGCCAGCACATGTTTAGGGTCTGTACCTCCTGTGGAGGCTACATGAAATCCAGGAATTCCTTTTGCTTGTTTAGCTCCTCTCTATGGAGGAGTGGAGCATTAGAAGACTCAGAACATTTTAAAATCTTTTCCCCAAGGTGTGAAG